GTGAGGGTTCAGTCCCTGGTCAGGGTATATACAAGAGGCAGCTGATCAATATTTCTCTCTCACATCAATATATTCTTCCTTTCTTTCTCCTACTTTCCTCTCTCTCTAAAAATAAAAGTAATAAAATCTTTAAAAAATTAATGTAGGGAGGGATGGGGGCTCTCCCACTAACAAAAAAGAAAACCTTATCATTTAGGATGTGAGGAGATGAATGCTAAGAACAAAATTTTGAGAAAACATCCATATTTAAGTAGTGAACAGAAAATGAGGAATAAGCACAACAGGAGCGAGATGGAAGAGCCAGGAGAAATTGGTGACATATGAGCCAATTAGCAATGTGGCACTGTCGGTATTAGTAATAAGCATTTATTTTACAGTTTAAAAAGTACTTTTCATTTATAGTGAAGTAACAGTTTTTCACATTTAATCTTCACAAGTAGAATGAGAACCAAAAAGAGGCAGTAAATTTGGCAACTAAAGGGATTCTAATGATCGAATTCCAAAATCGACAGGACTAAAGGAATGGAAAACCAATTGGGTGAGTTGGGAGAGGCTTAATATAAACAGAAAATGTGTAACTCTAGTCATCAAGGAGTTCCTATTTCCTGGGCATTTACATATTAAAGAAGGGATCCCTAGAAAGTGAAAACATGTACTTTCACCTGTAAGTTAAAATTAAGTTTTCTGTTTTATTAAGTCCTTATGAATTTATTTCAAAAACACTCCAAGTTTTTTTATTTCAAAAAAACTATCACATCTCTTGCCCTGGCTTGCGTGGCTCAGTGGATTGACCGCTGGACGGCCAAGCAAAGGGTTGCTAGTTCGATTCCCAGTCAGGGCACATGCCAGGGTTGTGGGCCAGGTCCCCAGTGGGGGCATGTGAGAGGCAATCACACATTGATGTTTCTCTCCCTCTCTTTCTCCTTCCCTTCCCCTCTCTCTTAAAATAAATAAATAAAATCTTAAAACAAAACAAAAGTTATCACATCTCTAAGAATGAGCCAAAGCAAAAAACATCCTGCAGTTGCCTCCTTATAATAGCACTCATGGGACTAGTTACCAATATCCAAAAGCATATTGTCCAGCAACTTAAAAAAAGTGTCAAAAACTCTAACCAAAGTTTAAAATTTACATAATTATATATTAAATTTAATAGTAAAGTAATATCAATTACATTTTAATGGGAAAAGCATTATATTAAGCATTTTATATACATTATCTCATTCAGTGCTCTAACTCTGTGAGTCAACAGGTTCTGGACAGGGTGCAGAAGATAGGAAACACAGGGAACCAAGGATGACTTAGGTTTTCTTCTTGAGCATCTAGATACATCTTGCTGATGTGTACTGAGATGGGGACAACAAGGGGAAAATCAGGCTTTGACAGGAAAATTAAGAGTTCTGTGATGGTCATGTTAAGTTTGGGTGTTTCTTAGAAGTGTCAGGAAGCTGGACATTGAGCCTAGAGCTCAGGAGAAGGGTCAGGGCTAGAGACATAAATTTATAATTTACCTGCATCTGGATGGTATTTAAAGCCATGGGACTGAATATGATCACTTAAGAAGGGAATGTAGATAGGGAAGTGGGTGCTGTGGCATTCTCAATATTAGGAAGGGTTGAGGAAAAGCAGAAATGCCTGCAAAGCAAGCTAGGAAAACAGGAAGAAACCAAGAGTGAGTACTGTTACAGAAGCCAAGAAAAGAATAGGTTTCAATAAGGATATGGTCATTTTTATTGTAAACTGCTAAGAGGTTACAACTGAGAAGTGACCACCGTATCTGGCAATATTGAAGTTACTGATGACTTTGACAAGAACTACTTTAGCAGGGTGGCACCAATGAGCAATGGAAGCTCAACTATAGTGGGCTCAAGAGACAATCGAGGTGAGCAAATGCAAAAGAGTGATTACAGATAAGTTTTTCAAGAATTATTGCTTTAAAGGGAAGAAAAATGGAGTAATGATTGGAGGGGGGTGGGAACATTAAAAGTACTTTTTTATGAGACTGAAGGTATTAGAACATATTTGTATGCTGATGGGGTTGACCCAGTAGAGGGGAAAGAATTAATCATGCCAGAGAAAGGAGATAACTGTAGGAGCAAAATTCTTGAGAAAAGGAGATGGCATAGGGCCATAAGGACTGGCCTTTTATGGGAGCAGAGACACTTTATAGATTTTAACAGAAAAGACAGTAAAGCACATGTGTACAGACATGGGAAAATGAGAAAACTTCATGTCTGACAGTTTTTATTTTCTCTGGTTCAGGAACTGAAAGTAGTGAGCCCACTGTCTAAGTTCCTACAAACCCTGCTGAGGCCCTCCCGAAGCGAGCGGGCCTCGTGACCAGTAAGTAATGGTCGGGGTAGACAGGGGTAGCACGAATGCACTGTGGTACATTATCTAAACCCATAAGGCTTCCCTTAGTACAGTGGTTCTCAAAACGTGGTCTCTGGAATAGTAGCATCAGCATCCCCTGGCAATTTGTTTGAGCCAGAAACTCTAGGGATAGGTCTCATAATTTGTTTAAACAGGTACTCCAGGTGATTCAGAGAAATTTTAGAACCAGTCTTTGCAGAATGCTGAGAGTTTCTTGGAAGAATTTCTTATATATGAAAATGTCAGAAGCAAGAGCTTTTCCTAATGAACCTAAGTATATGATGAGAGCTTTAAAAGCACATGGGAGGCAGCTCTGCTTACTTCCTCTCACCTACCTTTGCTCCAAAGACCAAGCCCAAGTCCACAGCACAATCCCATGATTGTTATAAAAATTACTCCAAGAGAAATCAGATGAAACTGACTCTGAAGGATAACTTCAAATTCTTAGGAAGTATGCGTTTTGAGGGGCAAAAGTGCAAAACAAGATAGAACTGAAGGAGATGTTGCAGAAGGATGTTTGTTTTGGAGTCAGATAGATTGGGGTTCAAGTATTAGAGCCACTACTTATTAGTGTGTGACTTTGAAAAACTTAACTTTTCTGAGCTCAGTCTTGTCTTCTAAAAATATGGAGATGCCAATATCTTAAATCCGGAAGGAAGTCTACCTATAATTCCTTCTTGTGAAAGAGTCTAGAAGCAGTTCTCAAGTTGCCATGCAGTATGTCATGTGACCCTGGTCACAACGGGTTGGAGCAGTAGCTATAGACTAATAGTACAGCATTCCTGTATTTCAGGAAGTGTGATTATGTGAAGGCAGAGAGAATTTTCTATAATTCATTTTATTCTGTATCTAGAAGTAAACAGAGCTATCTGTTTCTTTGCAATAAATACGTGATTACCTTATAGGGTTGTTATGAGAATTAAATGAAACAATGTGAGTACAATCTTTAATATGGAGATTGGCACATAACAATAACATACCTAGTCATCATTAATGAAAGCTCCAATGCCATTAGTGCTCCACATGATATCAAAAAGCCTCAGCACCCAAACTAAAAAGCACACTTAGCCTCAAGGTAACCAAGTCCCAGAGTCATTATATCTCATTCTCCAAGGCTTTTGCCCTAATACTATAAAATACAGGCTTCAGTCCAGAAGAATTCACTAAAACCCTCCACTACAGGTTTTTTGGGCTATATTGTACAAGTGGAAAGTTTGTTGTTGCTTTCTGGGGTGGGGGAAGTACTGAGGAGCTATATTAACTTTTAGACTATGTCATATAAAACTTTTTCAGTATAACCCATGATTAGATGGTGAGTCCAAGGTATGGAAGATTCTGAAAACAAGGAGAGGAGTTGAGTCTCGGCACTGCAAACTAGTGTTGGAGCAGCAAGGGAATGATAAAAGGAAATGATAACCAAAGAATATGGCCTTAGTAAGAAGAATGTGCCAGAGAGGCCATTCAGGAAGCCACAGTTTTAATTTAATCTAAAAGTCCCAAGGCCCTCAACAAGACCAGTGTGATGGTATATAAAAAGTGGGAATGGACACTAAACTGCATTTTGAAGACTGGGGAATCAAATGAAGCTGGTGACTGGATGTAGGGAATGAAAGAAAAATGAGTGTTCAAGAATCACAGAAATGGAGATCACATGGAGGGTTATCAGAGGGGAAGGGGAGGGGGGGAAATGGTAGAAAAGGTACAGGGAATAAGAAGCATAAATGGTAGGTAGAAAATAGACATGGGGAGGTTAAGAATAGTATAGGAAATGGAGAAGCCAAAGAACTTATATGTACGACCCATGGACATGAACTAAGAGGGGAAATGCTGCTGGGAGGAGGGGCAGGGTAGAGGGGAATAAAGAGGAAAAAAAAATGCAACAACTGTAATAGCATAAACAATAAAATGTATTTAAGAAATAAAAAAGAAATTAAACAAAAGAAAAGGAAGAAACATGAGTGTTTGGAATACGTTTGGTAGAGTAAGGAATTGCCAGAGTCAAGGGAACCTTTTCTTATTGGAGGCCTGAGCTCATTTTAGATTTCCCAATCTTAAGGTGATCAAGGAATTTTTCGGTGGAAATGGTTAAAGGGTAGCTGCTAATATGAAACTGGAACTCAGATAAGTGGAAAGAAGATGAGGCTGAGATCACCATAGAGGTAAACTCTGAAGCCATGATAATAATAAAGTTTTCAAGGGAGTACAGAGAAAGGAGAATGGAAGTCCAAGGCCCTGGTCTTGGAAATTGCTCTATGTCTAAGAGGTCTGTTTCAGAGTAAAAAGGAAGAACAGAGCTAGGGACTTGAGGTGGGGAAATAAGGCTGCCAAATATTTGGAGATCCTGGCCAAGCAACAGAAGCCAAGGGAAGAGGTTTCCTCTCAGCAAAAGTGTCTGTGTGATATCATCTGGATGCTATCAATAACAAAGTGCAATGCTATAGAAGCAGCACAGGTGAGTTCAGAATTATTCCGCTGGCCTTTGTAGAGCCTAAGTCCTCCACCAGCTGTGCTAAAGTTCACTCAGCAAGATCTATGTAATGACCGATGGCAAGTGTTCACTAACACTTGTTGCCCATGAGTGAGCTGGTAGGACAGACATAGCTCTTCTCTTAGATATGAAAACTTACCTAGTTCATCCCAGAGCTGCCTGCACTTATCTGTCATGCTTGTTCCTTGCTGCCTCCAGAGTGTGAGTCGTGGGTCAGCCATAAACTGCTCAGTTATTAGCGTCAGCATCCTCGCTCCGTTGGAATCTCTCATCCGCAGCATCTCTCGGACCTGACACATAAGGAGGGGCAAGGGGTTGGTGACTGCACATCATAAAAAAAGTAGGAGAATTAGAAAGGTGAGGAGGGGGAAGAGATGAAGTATCTAATCACAACATTTCCAAAGAGCTTTAGAAGGCCCCTTGTTCTGTAAGCAAGTTCACCGCATGTACCAAGAAAGCCTGCGATGCATAATGGGATACCACTTCACACCCACTAGGGCGGTGAGAATCAGAAAGTCAGGTAACAACAAGTATTGGTGAGGATATAGAGAAATCGGGACACTAATACACCATTGGTGGGGATGTAAAATGATGCTGCCAATTTGGAATCAGTTTAGCAGTTCCTCAGACAATTAAACACAGAGTTATCATATGACCCATCAATTCCATGTCCTGGAGAGAAATAAAAACATGTCCACATAGGAACTTGTACAAGAACGTTTCTATTAGAATTATTTGTAATAGCCAAAAGGTGGAAACAATCCAAACGGCCATCAACAGGCAAATGGATAGACAAAATGTGGGGTATCCATACAATGGACTATTATTCGGACATAAAGAGGATGAAGTACTGATACATGCCACTAATGCAGCTGACCCCTGAAATATGCTAGTTGTAAGAAGCCAGTCACAAAAGACTGCATACTACATGATTCCATTCTTATTAAGGTCCAGAATAGGAAAATCTATAGAGACAAGAAGTAGATTAGTGGTTGCTCAGTGCTGGGGGAGGGGACATGCTGGATAGGGGAATGATAACTAAAGGGTAGGGGGGCTCTTTTTAAGGTAATGAAAATATGCTAAAGCTGACTGTGGTGATGGGTACGTATATCTGAACATACTAAAAACCACTGAACTGCTGTATGGTAAATGGGAACATGAGCCCCTACCCGAGCTCCAACTCCCCTCCCACCTTGTGGGAGCATGATGAAAGCTATCAGTAAGTGGACTGTGAAATCCACCCTGGGAAACTGGCCAGCACCTCAGTCAAGAAATGGCTCAACAGAAACTGTTCTCGGATGGGGGCCTGGATGGTAAAGAACTGTAGAGAAATGGTTTGCGTTTTGGTCTCACACAGCTTGTGCACGAGCACGACCCCCTCCACCTGCATGCCCAGTTTTGCTTTGTTTTCTGTACTCTATAACTTTGTACTGGGAGAGTCTGAGTTATGGTAAAATTTCACTGATCGGCCACCTCCTGTGTGGCTTGTCCACAGGCCGGATGGAAAATTTCACCGGTCAGCCAGCACCAGTGTGCACTTAACTCCTAATAAACCCGTGTCAGGGTTTATTAGGAGTTAACCTGATCAGTTTCACAACCGGTCGACCAGGTTATTTCTTTGGAATCAACAAACAATATGCCGAGATTTCCTTGGACCTCAGCTCTTTGCATAACAATTACACACTTTAAAATGGATGAATTCTATGGTATGTGAATTATATCTCACTAAATGTGTTTTTAAAAAAGAAAGAAAACCTGCTGGGAGAGCCCCCAGCACCAAAAATCTCCTCGAGGCCTCATCAGCCAGTCTTGGGTCCAAATCTTCATGACTAAAATCCCCAGCAATGCCAGCTGATTTTGAGTGGAGCAGAAGGAAGAAGGCCACCAGGGTGAGGCAGCAGGGCTCCCCGGATGCAGCCTGCTCAGCTCTGCTCTGGTCAACTGCTCCCATTAATGTTCAAGCACTTGGTACAGCTAGGGCAAGTGAGCTGGCTACAATGCATGAAGCCAAAAGTGTGTTGAATTCCATTTACTTAAAAAAGTGAAATTAAAAAAAATTAAGAACCTTTCCACAGCTTACCTTGGCAAACATTGAATTGAGTTGCTTTCCAGAGCCATAGTAACCACCCTGGGAGAGAAAGAGCTTCACTTGTTCTTTCACCTGTTCTTCATCCAAGTGCCAACAGTTTTCATCATCAATGCTGGCCCCAGCTGTGGGGTCAGGGGCACCTGTGAAGAATGGGAGTCGTGAAATGAATTTCCTGGGTTTCATATGCTTCACCTTCAGGAGGAGGGGAAATTTGTGAGTGTATTAAAAAATATTAGCAGATGGCATATTATATACAGAAAACCCTAAAGAATCCACCAAGATTTAATAGAATTAATGAAAGAATTCAGTAAAGTAGCAGGATACAAAATTAATATACAGAAGCTTTTCACATTCCTATATACTAATAATAAACAATCAGATGGAGAAATTAAGAAAACAATCCCATTAACAACTGTGTCAAAAAGGAGAAAATAACAAGGAATAATTTTAACTGATGAGGTAAAATACCTATACTCTGAAGACTATAAGACATTGGAGAAAGAAATTTAAGAGGATACAAATAAATGAAAGGATACACCATGCTCATGGATTAGAAAAATAAATATTGTTAAAATAACAATACTATCCAAAGCAATCTACAGATTCAGTACAATTCCTATCAAAATACCAATGACATTCTTCTCAGAATTTGAATAATCCTAAAGTTTATATGGAATCACAAAAGGCCACAAGTAGCCAGAAAAATCCTGAGAAAGAAGTACAGAGTTGGAGGTGTCATGCTCCCTGATTGCAAACTATACTTCAAAGCCATAATAACCAAAACAGTATGGTACTGACACACAAAAAAGACACATAGATCTAGACACAATGGACTAGAACGGAGAGCCCACAAATAAACCCTTGCTTGTATGGCTGACTATTCTACAACAAAGAAGGTAAGAATATACGAGGAGTAATGACAGTTTCTTCAACAAGTGGTATTGGGAAAACTAGACTGACACATGCAAAAAGATCAAACTGGACTACTCTCGTACACCATATGTAAAAATAAACTCAAAATGAATTAAAGATGTAAATGTAAGACCTGAAACTATGAAACTCCTATAAGAAAACATAGGTAGTAAACTACTTAACATCAGTCTGAGTAACACCTTTTTGGATATGTCCCCTAGAGCAAGGGAAACAAAGGTAAAAATAAACAGGTGGAACTTCATCTGACTAAAAAGCTTATGCACAGTGAAGGAAACTATGAACAAAACAAAAAGACAATCTACTCAATGTGAGAATATATTCTCAAATGATGTATCTGTTAAGAGGCTGGTATCCAAAATACATAAGATATTCATACAACTTAATAACAAGACATATGAAAAGATGCTCGATATCACAAATCAAAACCGCAATGAGATACTACCTCACACCAGTCAGAATGACTCATAAAAAAGTGAACAAAAAGTGTTGGCAAGGATATGGAGAAAAGGGAACACTAGTGCACTGTTGCTGGGACTGAAAATCGGTGCAGCCACTATGGAAACCAGTACGGAGATTCCTCAAAAAAACTAATAGTAGATCAATGGATTCAGCAATTCTACTTCTGGGTATTTATCCAAAGAAAATGAAAACACTAATTTGAATAGATATACCTCTCTATGTACATTGCAGCATTATTTATAATAGCTAAGATATGGAAGCAATGTAGCTGTCCATCCATAGATGACTGGATAAAGAAGATGTGTTATATATACACGCAATGGAATATTACACAGCAATAAAAAATTGAAATCTTGCCATCTGAGGCAACATGTATGGATCAAGAGGGTATATAGGTCAGACAGAGATGGACAAATACTCTATGGTTTCACTGATATATAGAATCTAAAAACTAACAAAATAAAAACAGACCCATAGAGAACGAAGGGATGATTGCCAGAAGGGAGGCAGTGGAGGGATGAGTGAAAAAGGTGAAGGAGAAGTCAATAATATTGTGATAAGTTTGCATGGTGACTAATGATTACTAGAATTAGTGGGGTAATCACATTATAAGGTATAAAAAATGTCAAATTCCTTACTGTACACATAACATTAATATAACTAATGTAATATTGTATACCAACTATATTTAAATAAAATCTTAAGAAACAACACCCCCCAAGTGGGTATTTTGCCTTAATCTGGGCTTTTTCAATTGTGTGGTCCAGAATAAATGTAAGAGATCTAATGCTAATTCCACATTCATTTAAATTTCAGTAGTATCCTCTTCCAAAATCAGCATATACCATCTTAGTAGAAAAAAGCCTGGAAGAAAATACACAAACATAAAAATAGTGATTTTTTTCCTTAGAAGGATGACTTTATATTTTTCTTATTTTTCCCTTTCTATGAGTTCAAAGAAGCTTTAAAGTACATGTACTGTTGTAAAATAAAGAATGCTTTCTCAAAAAATAAAAATTCAATTTTTAAAGCCCACTCTAAATATGTAGCTTCTCAAGTGAAGTCAACACTCCTAAATTCCTAAAAACTTGCCCCATAAAGCACAGGCAGAGTTGCATACAAGGTTATATAATTTTACAATTTTTTAAAATAATTTTTTCAATTACAGTTGATGTACAATATTATATTAGTTTCACATGTACAACCCAGTGATTAAACATTTATATAATATACATTGATCACCTTGATAAATCTAGCACCCATCTGATACCATAGTTATTACAATACTATTGACTATATTCCCTATGCTGTATGTTACATCCCCATGAGCATTCTGCAACTACCAATAGGTACTTCTTAATCCCTTCATCTTTTCCACCCATCTTTCAACCCCTCCTCCCATCTGGCAACTGTCAAAATGTTTTCCGTATCTAAGCCTATTTCTGTTCTGCTTATTTTATTTTGTTTTTTAGATTCCACATACAAATGAAATTATAAAGCATTTGTCTTTCTCTGTCTGAATTAATTAATTTAGTATAATACTCTAGGTCCATCTATGTTGTTGCAGATGGCAACATTTCATTTTTTTTTGTGGTTGAGTTATATTCCATTATATATATTCACCACTTATTTATCCATTCATTTATTGATGGACACTTAGGTTGGCCACTGTAAATAATTCGGCAATTAATATATGAATACATATATATTTTTGATTTAGTGTTTTGGGATTCTTTGGATAAATTCCTAGAAGTAGAATTTCTAGGTGCTTCTTTGTCTCTTGTTATAGCCTTTGTTTTAAAGTCTATTTTGTCTGGTTTAAGTATTGCTACTTCAACTTTTTTTTCTTTGTTTCCATTTTCATGAAGTATTTTTCCATCACTTAACTTTCAGTCTGTGTGTTTTTTTTTATCTGAAATCTCTTGTAGACAGCAAACATAAGGGTCTTACTTTGTTATCCAATCAGTTGCCGTATTTAGATTAGAGCATTTAAGCCACTTGTATTCAATATAGTTGTTGATAGATATGTATTTATTGCCATTTTGTTATGCATACTTTTAATCTTTCTCCTTCTCTTCCTCCTTCTTCTTAAAGAAGACCCTTTAATGTTTCTTGAAATACTGGTTTGGTGGTGGTGAGCTCCTTTAACTTTTTCTAGTCTGGAAAGCTCTTTATCTGTCCTTTTATTGTAAATGATAGCTTTGTTGGGTACATTACTTGTAGGTCCTTGCTTTTTATCACTGAATATTTTATGCCAATCCCTTCTGGCTTGCAGTTTCTGTTCAGAATACAGTGGACTATCTTTGAGACCTCCCTTGTTGGTAACTACCTGCTTTTCTCTTGTGGGTTTTTAAAAAGATTTTACTTATTTACTTTCAGAGAAAGGGGAGGGGAGGGAAAAAGAGAGGGAGAGAAACATTAATGTGCTGTTGCCTGTAGCGTGCCCCCACACCAGGGACCTGGCCCACAACCCAGGCACATGCCCTGACTGGGAATTAAACCAGTGACCCTTTGGTTTGCAGGCCAGTGCTCAATCCACTGAGCCATACCAGCCAGGGCTCTCTTGTTGCTTTTAAATTTGTCTTTAACCTTTGGCATTTTATTTTTATTTATTTATTTATTTATTTTTTAAGATTTTATTTGTTTATTTTTAGAGAGGGAAGGGAGGGAGATAGAGAGAGAGGGAGATAGAGAGAGAGAGAGAGACATCAATGTGCGGTTGCTGGGGGTTTTGGCCTGCAACCCAGGAATGTACCCTGGCTGGGAATCGAACCTGGGACACTTTGGTTCCCAGCCCGCGCTCAATCCACTGAGCTACGCCAGCCAGGTTATTTTTATTTTTTTATTGATTGATTTATCTACTTATTTTGAAAGATTTTATTTATTTATTTTTAGAGAGGGAAGGGAGGGAGAACAAGAGAGAGAGAGAAACATCAATGTGTGGTTGCTGGGGGCCGTGGCCTGCAACCCAGGCATGTGCCCTGACTGGGAATTGAACCTGCGATGCTTAGGTTCGCAGCCCGCACTCAATCCACTGAGCTACGCCAGCCAGGACCTTTGGCATTTTAATTATAATGTGCTTTGGTGTGGACCTCTTTGAGTTCATCTTGTTTGGGACTCTCTGCACTTCTTGGACTTCTATGCCTATTTCCTTTACCAGGTTAGGGAAGTTTTCCATCATTATTTTTTCTAATAGGTTTTCTAATCCTTACTTTCTCTCTTCTCCTTTAGGTATCCCCATGATGTGATTATATGTACACTTGATGTTATCCCAGAGGTTCTTTAAAGTATCCTCATTAAAAAAATTTTTTTTGTCATTCTGATTGGGTATTTTCTGCTTCCTTATATTCCAAATCATTGATTTGATGCTCTGCTTCATCTACTCTACTGTTTATTCCCTGTAATGTACTCTTCATTTCAGTTAGTAGGTCCTTCATGTCTGACTGGTTCTTTGTTCTCTAACTCCATTTTTGTTTCCTACGTTTTTGTTGAAATTCTCACTAAGTTCATCTACTCTTCCCCTAAATTCACTGAGCATCCTTATAACCAATGTTTTGAACTCTGCATCTGGTAGATGGCTTGTCTATTTTTTTGGTTGTCATTTAGTTCTTTTTCTGGAGTTTTGACCTATTCTTTCATTTGGGCCATGTTTCTTTGTCTCCTCATTTTGGCTGCCTCCTGTGTTTGTTTCTATGGATTAGACAGATATGCTACATCTCCCAGTCTTGGTAGAGTAGCTTTATGTAGG